TCTTTTTCTTCTGAAGTGGGTTTTGGTTTTGTTTTATTTTTTTGCAGTGCTGAGGATGGAATTCAGAATTGTGTGCGTTAGGCAAGAGCTGTACCACTGAGCTACATCCCCAGCCTCTCCTGAGTTCTAAAGATCGGTTGATAATGAGTGTTTAGCTTCTGCACTGCAAGAGAAACCACCAACAGAGCTAAGAAACAGCCTACAGTGTGGGAAAACATTCTTAACAGCTGTTCCTCAGACAAAGGTCTACTGTCCACAATATATAAAGAACTCAAAAAAAAATCAGACCCCTCCCAATTTATAAACCCAATTCGAAAATGGGCATCTGAAATCAACAGACGTTTCTCAGACAAAGAAGTAAAAGCAGCAAATAAACATGAAAAAATGTTCAACATCAGGTCATTCAAGAGATGCAGATGAAAACACTGAGACCCACCTCACCCCAGAAAGAATGGCTGCTAGCAAGAAATCCACCAATAACAAATGCTGCCAGGGTTGTGGGGAAAAAGGAGCCCTTCTCCATTGTTGGTGGGAGTGCAGACTGGTGCAAGCACTGTGGAAATCAATATGGAGAAACCTCAAAGAACTAGGATAGAGGTTCCATCTGACCCAGCTATCCCTCTGCTGGGTATCTTCCCAAAAGAATTAAAAGTATCATACCACAGCGATACATGCTCACCCATGTTTATAGAGGCACAGTTTGTAATAACTAAAACTTGAAAACAGCCTAACTTCCCATCAACTGCAGACTGGATAAAGAAGGTGTGTGTGTGTGTGTGTGTGTGTGTGTGTGTGTGTGTGTGTTTGTGTTTAATAAAATGGAGTACTACTCAACTATAAAAAATGAGAAACTAGAGACATTTACAGCTAAGTGATGCACATTGAGGGCATACTCTTAAGTGAAATGAATAGGACCCATATATGTAAATACTGAACAGTTTCTCTGGTGTGATAATCTAAAAGTGTAAATAATCAAAATGTATAATTGATATTGTATAATAGGGAAAAATGTCTAAAGGCGTAGGGGAAGTGGGAGGGGTAGGGGAAAGCTAAGAAGGGAAAAGAAAAAATAAAGAGAAAAGGAAAAAAATGGAAACAAAGTCTCTGTAAATAGAGAAGGGTGGAGAGGGTGAAGGGAGGGCAGGGGAATGGGAAAAAAATAAACACCAAGATACATCATGTAAAAGTGCAAGATCCCAATGATGAATGTATTTGTATACCTAAAATGTATCAATAAAGAAAAAAGGGGGAAAAGTACGAGTATGAGTGTTTATTTCATTATATCTGGGGAGTTAATATGAATAATAAATATACTTCATACAATGATGTGCTCTTTTTGAAACAAAACTTCCTTAGATGATTTTGAACTGAAGGGATTTAGATAGATAAACACAGCCCCTGTATTAGAAATCATTTGATAGTAAGAGTCCTGGTCTCCTGACATTGATTAGAAGACAAAGCAGGGCAAAGTCTGCTGCTAATTTTGCATAGAGGGCATTACTGGCACTCAGTCCATATAGGAGAGGCCTGAGGGGTCCAGGCCACTGTAAATCTGTATTGGAAGACTGCAGTGTGATTTTGTTATGACAAGAAATTAGTAATACCTTGAGCAGCATGCAATGTTGAAGGAAGAGAGGCTTATAGCCATCCATTTCGAGCCACTTGAAACCTTCCTTTTGCTCTTGGTCAACCTTTCTGTTGGATTAATAACATTGGATTTTGGTAGCAAGCAGGGATTATCAGGCTGCAAGCCACCTGTTTTTTAGTTTTTGTTTTTCTTTTTTTTGGTGTTTTGAGACAGGGTCTCCCTTTGTAGTTCAGACTGCCCTGAACTCACTACATTGCCCAGGCTAGCCTTGAACTCGCACTGATCCTCCTGCCTCTGCCTCCCAAATGCTGGGATTACAGGCAGTCACGCCACGCCTGGCACCACCTGTTTTTATGAATAAAGTTTTATTAGAGCAAGGCTGTACTTAGAAGTTTACACATTTTCTGCAGCTACTTTCCTATTTCAGGGGCAGTATAGCGTATTTGTTACCATTCTCTCTCCAAAGCCTAAAATGTTTGGCCTTTTACAGAAAAAGCTCTCCAGCCCCTTGTCTAGTAAACTAGACCTAGATGATGAGGGAAATTGAAATCTTGGCAAGAGGAGCCTCAAAAGGGACATGGGAGGGATAAAGGGAAGATCTGGGTGTGGCAGGAGGAGCTGTCTCCAAATATATGAACTGTCATTTTGGAGGAAAATTGGACTCTTGCCTGCTTAATTTGCTGAGCAAAATGAAAACACAGGATAGGAGATATTGGGTGGGGGAAGCTTGTCAGTGTATAGTGAAATTGTTTAACATTGGATTGGGTTTGCTTTTGGAGGAAATGAACCTTGATTTGGTTTTGGTCATCGGGTGTTTTAGGCTGGCTGACTGTCACCCACTTGTCTAGATGAAGGTCAGATGTGGAAGGTAATGTTAGGGTAGACTTGTGCCCTGAGATTTTTGCCTTGGAATGCTTCTGTTAAGCTCCAGCTGAGGTCCTTGAGCATTTTCCCAGGGCCTTGTAGGTTACTGAGCCAAGCTAGTCACACTAGGTGTTAACCGGACTAGGTACTGGGTTTGGGTTTTCTGGTGTAGGCCAAAGTATCATCCAAAGCAGAATAAAAGGACATTTAACAGACATCAACAAGTACCCCAAGTCTAGTTTAGTACTTTTAGAAGTTTATATTTTGGATTTTTTTTCTTTACATGTGTGGGAGGTTTAAGTTATTTTTCTTATTGGTTCACAAGCTCATTTAGAGTTTTTGTGTATCGAGTGATACATGAGCTTAAGAGATACTCAGGTATGTAAGGTGAGACACTGTATGTTGTTTGGGTTTATTGTTTGCTGTGTTTTCCGATCTCATATTAATCTTTTCTTTCTGTATTTGAACTCATCAGCTGTTATTGAATGTCAAATAATCCAAGTAGATAAACCGGCCTTCTTTTGTTTGGTTCTGTATTCTTATCTGACTTTTATTTTGGTCTCCAGAAGGAGAGATTTAAAACGAGCTTTTCATATTAAAACACCATCCCCTAGAGACCTTGTTTGAGATCTAAGTTAAAATTATGAAAAGCTGCCGAATGAGACTCAATCAGTAAACATTTGAATTAAGAGCATTATACTTTGTGTACTGTGTTGAGTGTTCACGTGATATCTTAAACCGTTTTCTTCTGATTTGAACTTAGCACAACTTTTGTAGTTTGCAGAGGAGGTGGACTTGAAGGGGTGATTTCCTGGATGACCTACCCTGCTTTGGGGTGCAGACCTCGGAGAAGGTCCGCCTCTCCTGCCTCTTCCACTGCAGCCAGAAGGGTTTGTAGGGTCTTCAGACCCTCAGGTGTGTAGACTTCAAGCCGGCTGATCTGTTAGTTTGGGAGGCCTTCATTCTGCAGAGGTTCTGAGGCAGTGGTGTGTATTGTGTGGGAAAGTTCTGTCAGCTGGAGAGTGACAGTTGAAAGCCTAGAAGAGTTGGAAGTATAGTGGAGACAGGGAGACTAAGGGGGTGGGTTCCTGCCGAGTCTGGGTGCAGCCTTACAGCCTGTAGCTCAGGCCCTGAGCAGCAACCACTCTCTCCTTTTGTCCCGGTTGTACCATTATAGTCAGATGGGGCTGGGGAATGGAGGAACTTCAGGCGTGGAATCTGCTCAATAAAACGTTTGAATTCTTTGCTAGCAGTATTTTAATTATTTTCTATTTATTTACTTTTTTGTTCCATCCTACTTTGAAGTGTTGAAATACTGAAAGTAGCTCCTCCATATTCAGGAAGAAATTTGACCTTTAAATTATGATTTAACATATGTCAGCTATCAAATGTTTTCCATCTATGTCGTGAAGGTATGAAACATAACCCAAACTTTTCAAACATGTGAATAGTCTTAATATAATTCAAATGTCAGGTGGTTGAATTAGGGTTTTACATACATAGAATACAAAATTTATTAAAATGTCCTTTGAATTTTTACCAAATAGCTCAGTAATTAGAGTAAATAAGCTCCACTACCATACAATGCTAACCTATTGTTGTCTCCTTTGCTGACTTATGGAATCTGCTTTCTTACTATAAATGGGTCCATATTCCTTTGGTGCTCAAAACACATATAATAATATTAGCTATGTTACATTTATAAGGGTCGGATAGTGTTGTAAGTGCTTCACATATGTTATGAACTTACCTAATCCTTGTGACACACCTTTGAGGTAAGGGTGATCATCCTCACTTCACAGGTGGGTAAATAAAGGAAGATGTAACTTACCCAGCAACTAGTATACTAGTAAGGTACCGCGGGGGAAACTACATTCCTGTAAAGTGGGAGGGAGGAGGGAGACGAGGTGTGTGGTCAGTGTTTGACAGGATATAGTGTGTATTTTACTGACCGTGCATAAAAACTGAGACTATGTAAGCAATATAATCCTTTTAACTGAAACACTATAATGTTATAAAAGTTGACTGAGAGGGCAGAATGTCACTGATTATCTTGGCAATTTGGACTTTGGATGATTGTGTGCGAATGAAGAAACAACCACAGTATGATTGACTCTGATTTGGGGTCGATCTTTAGATTTCCCGTATGAATGCCTCCCCTTCTTTTTCCGGTATTGGGCATTGAACCCAGAGCCTTCACACTGAACTGCATACCCACCACTTTTTCCAGTTTTTAAAAGTTTGGGACAGGTTCTCACTAAGTCGCCCAGGCGAGGCCTGAATTTGCAGCCTCCCAGAGTGCTGGGGTTACAGTCGTGTGCCACCCTGCCTGGCCAACCCTTCCGTCTTGCCATGACAGTAGTACCTGACTGTGCTTTACAGTCTTGTCCCTATTTATATTGCACTTCTAGTGTGGTTATTCAGGTGAGGACATCATGTAAATAGGTGTATTCTGTAGGTTATTTTTGTATTATTATTTTCTTTAGGAAAATATTGACCTATTTGCTAGTATGCAGGCATTAACTCCAAATATTTCATTTCTTAACAGTACAGTGCTGTGGATACCAACCCACTCTCTCTGTATGTCATGCATCCATTTTGGAACACTGTAGTGAAGGTAAGATGATTAATGGGCATGTACTTTTAAATTCAGTTTTACGTGTTTTAACCTGTTTTATAGCGTGTCAGGGGTGCAGCTTTTAGGTTAGGAAGATACCTGCACATACTATACTGTCTGTCTTCTGAGTTCTGCAGTGTAGACCAGGCTGGTCTTAAACTCACTGTGTAGCTCAGGATGGCCTCTGATTCTCCTGCCTCAGCCTCCCTAGAGCTGGGATTATAGGTGTTCACCACTTTGCCTGGCCTGACATATTACACTTTCTATTTTCCTTCCCCTTAGTCACATATTTTTTGCTTTACCTCATTGTTGAAATCTAAATGTATATAATGTAATCTATCATAATTTTAAAATGCCTTTTAAAATTTTCTAAAATTAATTTTATGATTATAAAATATTTTAGCTTTTTGGGAGGGGGCAGGTTCTCTGTTAGTAGTTCAGGCTGACCTTGAGCTCACTGTGTAGTCCAGGCTGGGTTTGAACTTGTGGTGATCCTCCTGCCTCAGCCTCCAGGGTGCTAGAATTACAGGTGTGTGCCATTATGCCTGGCAAAACGCTTATTTCTATCAATTGCAGATTATGGTTTACATTTTAATATGTATGACTCCTGTCTATGATCCTTCACATTAATAGTTTTTTTTTTTTTTTGGTGGCGGGTACCGGGGAATGAACTCAGGTCCTTGCGCTTGCAAGGCAGGGCACCGAACCACTGAGCTAAATCCCCGGCCCTTAATAGTTTTTATTATGGCCTAAATTTTCATGTGTGGTGTTTATCAAAGATTCCTTTAATTGTTTTATAATTATTTTGAAAATAGGTATTCCCTACTTGGCTGGCTCCAAATCTGATAACCTTTTCTGGCTTTCTGCTGGTTGTATTCAATTTTCTACTTATGGCATATTTCGATCCTGACTTTTATGCTTCAGGTAAGAATATTACCTTAATATAAAGTTTAAAATATCTGAGTAGAGAAAATTGAGGTATAGTTGGTTATTTTCTCACTCTGCTGTGGTACTTGTATTTCTGAAAAGTTTTGGGTGTTAACAAAGTTATTTAATATGTCGTAATTGCATAGAAAAACTATGTTGTGTTGTGTTATATAGGTTTCAAATAAGTTCTAGAAATATAATACTATTTTGCCTGTTGAATTTGTTATGCTAGCTAAAAAGCAATGAAGTTTTGGCACATAATAATTACATTTGCATGAAGACAGAAATTTAGGGTACCAAAACTACTTAAAAATGAATTCAAGCAGGGCCTAGCATACCCATCATCCAGGAATAGCCATCTCTTCCGTTTTTCTAGTCATGGAAGGAAAATCCCCTTTCCTCTAAAGGGGATGTGGTCTGTCCTTCCCTCTGTTCATTCCCTGCTGTAATGACACCCAGTTTCCTCTGACAATGCTTCTTAGACCTAAATGTTTGAAACATTTTTACTAGGTACACAGCGATCACATTCTTTATGGGGAATTCTTTTTTCATCCCCTTCCCCACTCCTCCCTAAATATTTTCCTCTCCTCCCCTCTCCTCTCCTCCCCTCTCCTCTCCTCCCCTCCCCTCCCCTCCCCTTTCTTGCTTTTGCCACTGAGCCCCATCCCCAGCCCACCCTAAATGTTTCTGATGTCGGCCTCAACCCCTGTTGGAGAAGACCGAAGCACTTTGGCAGCCAGTGTCCCTCCCGCTCCCTGCAGCATCCTTTCCTCTCTGCTCTGCCACACCCGGCTGGTCTCCCGGCCACAGGAAAGAATCTGGAGTGTTTGAAGGCTGAGGGGAGAGTGGGAGACAGGGTTTATTGTTATTGTTCAGCTACTTCATCGAGTGGAAAGGAGTAGAGAGGTGGAGGCCAATGAGTAAATTTTGCCTTTAAGCTGGAGAATTTGTTTTCTGATCAGAGTACCAATAACAGCCAGTGTGGTAGTGCATAGCTATAGTCCCAGAACTTGGGAGGCTGAAGCCAGGGAATTAGAAGTTCAAGGCCAGCCTGGGCTATGGAGTGAGTGTCAGGCTGCCTGGGACTACACATGAGACCTTGTCTCGAAAGAACAAACAAGAGCAAAACTTCTAAATGATGTAGTCAGGGGTCTTAGTGTTATAATTTGTCTGTTTTATGGACTCAGCAGACTTTGTGGACTGGCCAGGAAGAATCAACAGCCATTGGGAGCATTATTTTGTAGGAAAATTTGAAGTTTCAATCACTTAGCATTAAATTCTGAATATTGAAACTATGCATGTGCTGAATTTTGTCAACTGAAACTTTCAGCTTGCACACCTGAAAATACAGCAAAATGGTCACTGAAATCTTAAATACCAACTCAGAAGCATGAGAAGATCCTAAAGTACCATAAGAATAATCAGTAAGATTACATTTCATTAAACATGGTTTTGGTATGGTGAGGCTTTTTGTTGTTTAGATTTTTAATTTTGTCTTTTAATCTTCAGGAAATGCTAAAATATTTATTTTTGTAATTAGAAATATCTGACTGAATAAAATTATTACCTCATTATTCAGAGAAATACGAATATGTAAAATTATGTACATTTCTTCAAATTATAGAACTTGAAGGACTAATAAACCAGCAAGTCCCAGTAAGCTTGGAAAATGCAAGATAGGAGAGGGAAACAATACATTCAGGGTCACACCACGGATGAGTTAGAGGCAGGCCTAGAACCCAGACTTTGGATTCTAAGTTGTTTCATCATAGGGAAAAAAGTGAGACCCAGACAGTTTAGATGACTCTGCTGCCCAGATTATCTGGTTGAGGAAATCCGCCTGTAACCATGCAGTGAGAAAGTGTAGTATGAAGGCTGTGTGTCTGTCAGTGGCTTTTCTGTTGCTGAGACAAAGTTCCTGGAGCCACAATTTGGGTACGGTTCCAGGGGACTCAGTCTGTGGTTGGGTGGCTCGCGGGCAGAAGCTGGCGGGCCGGGCAGAACCTTTGCTCGCCCTGGTGGTCAGGAAGCAGAGAAGGGAGGAACCAGGGGAGAACGGTCCCCTTCAAGGCACACGCCAGCGTGTACCCCAAGGAGCCCCACTTTTCTGACCAAGCTTCCCTCCGAATGTGAGACTTTTGGGGGCCCTTTTAGATCTACACTGTAATGTGTGCAAACATAAGTTTGTAGTATAATCATAAACAATAAGAATTAGATTACATGCAGTCATTTTTATAAATTTTAAAAATATATTATTTTTCATTGTGGGTGATAAGTAATTTTCAAGTAAAAGGGGAACCCTTAATCTTGAATCACAATACAAGCTCAGTACTTATTGCTAATGCAGGGTTGAGGAGTTACAGCTTTGGTTTTGGCAGTTCATGACAAGTTTTACTGTGAGTTCTGCGCTCAGCATCCCGTACTTGAATCTCTAACAAAGAGAAACATTTCTCATTGTCAGGAAGTAACGGTAAGAATAATTATGGAAAGAATAATTATGGAAAGACTGTATTCACATCTCAGTTGCTTTCATTTGCAGCACCAGGGCACAAGCACGTGCCTGACTGGGTGTGGATTGTTGTGGGCATCCTCAACTTCACAGCCTACACGCTAGGTAAGAAAGTGGTAAATACCGATTTTAAACATTTCCCCTTTTTATTAGTGTGTGTTTGCAGCACAGAGGAATATGACACATTGGCTCTGTTTACTTTCCTTTCCCTTTCAGTTCCTCTTGTCTTCTGCCATCTCTGGATCCCTTTCCGATCTCCACATCGTCTTATCTCCCTGTCCTCCTCTTTGAGCTTTGAATTTCTCATGTAAGAGAAACCATGAAATATTTAACCTTCTGTATCTCATTTATTTTACCTAGCATTAGGATTTCAAGGTGCATCCGTTTCCTTACAAATGACTCATACACATCCTTCTTTATGGCAGTGTAGTACTCCATTGTCTATGTATACCACATTCTCTTTATATGTTGATGAACACAGAGGCTGCTACGAAGAGCCAGCTGTTAGGAGTTGTGCTACTAAAAGCATGGGCATGTGTGTATCACTGTAATACGATGTCTCTAACTCTTTCAGGAAAACCCAGAATCAGGTGGAATTTTTATTTTTATTTTTATTTTCTTTTTGAGCAGTCTCCATAGTGGCTATTCTAGTTTACATTCCCGCCAGCAATGTAGAGGAGTTCATTTTTCCTCACAACCTCACCAGCATGCTTTGGTTATTGCGTTCTTGATGCAAGCCATTCTTTGTAGGGTTGGAATCTTGGTGTTGCTCTGACTTAGATTTCTCTAATGGTCAAAGATGCTGAATGTGTTTTCATGTACTTATTGGCCATTTGTACTTCTTTTGAGAAGTAGTCACTCATTTCAATTGCTCATTTTTTGATTGTGTCTTTTATTTTGAGGGGCCTAATTTTTAAATTCCTTTATACACCTTAGATATCAGTCCTCTGTCTGAGGAATAGTCGATACAGATTTTTTTCCCATTCTGTCAGTTGGCTCTTAACTGTGTTGGTTGTTTCCACTGCTCTGTGCAGAAGCGTTTAAAGTTGGTAAAATTCCATTTGCTGATGCTTGGTGTTATTTCTTGTGTAGCTGGGGTTCTGTTCAGAGAGTCCTTGTCATGGGCATATGGTGTCTTCAAGAGTTTTCCCTATTCTGTCTTCCAGCAGATGAAGTGTTTCTGTTTTAATATCTAAGTCTTTGATCCATCTTGATTTTATTTTGGTACAGGGTGAGAGATAATGAGTCTAGACTGATTGTTCTGCATATGGATGGTCAGTTTTCCCAGCACCATTTGCAAAGCAGCCCTTTATCCTGCAGCCTGTGTTTTTGGCCCCTTTGTGAAAGATCAGATGGCTGAATATGCCTGGCATTGTTTCTGCATCTTCATTTCTGTTCCATTGCCTTGCACATCTGTTTTTGTACCAGCACCATGCTGTTTTTGTCACTGTAGCTTTGTAATATAACTTGAAATCTGGGACTGTGAGGCCTCCTGCTCCTAGGTATTTAATTAATTAATTAAGTTTTTGGAAGCTCCGATGAATGGTATTGTTTTCCTATTTTCTTAGTGGGCTCATTGTTGATATACAGGAACACTGTTGATTTCGTGTATCAATTTTGTATCCTGCTATTTTGCTGACTTTGCTAATTCTAGTCTTTTAGTGGAGATTTTTGGGTCTTTTATGTAAAGGTTCATGTTATCTGTGAATAAGGAGAGTTTGACTTCTTCTTTGCCTGTATGGATCCCTTTTGTTTCCTTTTCTTGCCTGACTGCTCTGACTGATGTTTCTAGGACCTTGTTGGTGGGGGTGGTCATAGTGGACCACCCTTGTGCTCTTCCTGAAAATACTGATTTTAGTCAGTGGCTGGTTAATCAGCCACGCCCTAAATTAACAGTCTCATAAGCTTCATTCTTTTTAACTAGAGTTTATTAATATCCTGTTCAAATTGATATATTTAATTTATGAAATATATCATCATTCACCACTCAGGATAAATAGGAGTTGGCAAAGTACTAATTATAGGCACATCTATCCCACTGTCTGTTTTGGTAAATAAGTTTTCCTACTGTGCATTCATTCCCTCGTGTACTGTCTGGGGCTCCTTTTCTGCAATAAAGACAGTTGAGTGGTTTGCAGGAGGCCCACAAACGGTTTGGACCCCAAAGTCTAAAACACTTACTTTCTGGCCCTTCGTATTTGCCAGCCTCAAGTAAGACGTTTCTGCTTAAGTCTGGGAAGCAATAGTGATGTAGCAGTTGCAGAATGGCGAGGGAGTTGCTGTAATAGAACGCAGCGGGAGGCAAGGCAGTGATTGGTTCTTTCTTGGTAGCGGGTTTTCAGTGAGGTCATCCGCGTGGCTTGTCCTGCAGTCTTCCCTCCTCCTTTCCTGTGTTTATTTCCACCTAGTTTTTAAAACAGTCTGTTTACTTACCTGCTTCTCAGTCGTCTGTCCTAACTAAAATGTTAGGGCACGGAACACCCGGTGTCTAGAGCATCGCCTATGTAGAGCATCTCAAGTTTGTAGTTTTATAATGCAGGTAAAATAGTGGATGCTGACTTCAAGGCGCTCAGATCTTGTCAAATAAAAGACGTTTCTCATGTGCAACACAGCTCATCACATGATGATGTGGTGGAGCGAGCCTATTGGAGTTTGGAGAGGGAGAGAAGGATTAGGGGACGCTGCAGTTAAAAGTCACGTATTGAAGTAGAGGTTTTGTGCATCTGTTGTTAAAAACGAACAGGCTTTCAAACGCTGCTAAAGGACCCAGTTGTCAACGACTGCTGCAGGGAACAGGGAAAAAGGCGGGTGGCTCGTGAGCCTGACTTTGGACAGCATTCCCTAAGAGCCTTTTAATATCCTGTAAGATCTTCCTGTTCAAGTCTACAACTTTCTGGCAAAAATCCTGCCCTCACACGAACTATTTGTTACCAAACCTGTCTTTAACTAACATGAAGCATATAATTTTTATTCTACAGAGTGTGACTCTGTGTGCATTTTTCTACAGAAATATCAGTGTATGCGATCAATCCCAGGTCATAGGAGATACCGTTGATTTTGTTCATAATGTATATAGAATGCATCCTGAATTACCTTTCTAAAATGAAGTTCTTAAGACATACCTGGGACACCAGACTTGTGAAGCTGGAATAGGTTCATTGAGAAAACTTACAAAACCTAATTAATAATGTATTTCATGATTTTAATATGATATAGCTGTACAGGAGCTACAATGAAAATAGGAAATTATTAAGCCAGTGAATAATGGAAAAGACTTTTAGGGGATATTTCAGGTACATGAGGGCAGAAAATTTCCCAACCCTCTGTAACAGACCTGCAGGGTTTGAGCAGGGGTTTTGGGATTTATCTTTTCGGGTATTCCTTCTATAATGTTTATGAAGGCTGTCTTTGCTATGGACTGACCCAGTCACTGAGGATAAGACCGTGGTGAGCGAAGTAGGCGCAGTTATTATAGGGACCCCCCACTCCCCAGTGGGGACAGAACCCCAGGCCACGTGCATGCTAGATACCCTACCACTGAGTGCACGCGGGCCGCTTTTCTTTCTTTGTAACTAGGTTTCGTTATGTCTTCCTGTAGCAGGCTCCTCTGTTTCTTCCCCTAAATTAAGCCATTCCTTTGTGCTTTATTTTCTCCTTGGCTTTCTCTTTTCCTCATTCTCTGGATCCTCATACTTAACATTCTTACTTTCCACAATCCCCACGTTTATATCTAGCCCCCACTTGCCTTCTGTGTTTCTGGTAATACTTTGGGATCGAGCTCAGGTGAATAGCCACCAAGCCTTTAGTCACAGTACCTAAAATTATCGTCTTTCCTCTCACCACTCTTGCTGCTGCCTCTGACTTCTTTCTATGAACACTGGTGCTCTCTTAGTCACCCAGTCTGAAACCTGTTGAGACTGTCTTCTCTTCAGCCCTTTCGTCTCTTTCGCAGCATTCTCTCCTTTTTATTTCCTCAGTGTTCTCCTGTCCCCAGCTTTCCATTCCCACTGCCCTCCATCTCCATTTTGATCCACTAATTATTGTCCCTCTCTCTAGCCTGTCATTCACAAAGATGTCACGTGGATTCTCTTAGAGCATCGCTTTCACTCGTCAGTTCCCTGTTAGTGCACCTTTCAGTAGCTCCCCGTACTCCCTCACACCTCTAAACTGCCTCAGACCTCCTCCAGCCTTTTTATATTGCTGTCTTCATCTGGCTTTTAGTCAAACTACATTTCTTGCATTTTTTTGAATGTGCAGTATACTTTTCCATCTCAGTGTTTATTACTGGTTGTACTCCTTCCTCTTGAAACGGTATATTTCTTTATCTCTTAGCTACTGAAATCCAGCTCATTCTTTATGTCCTCTCTCAGATTTCCTCTTGTCTTAAAAGCCATTCTAGGTTATCTTAGCCTGAAGATCCCTTTCTTTGCCCTATGTGACATTTTTGTGATTTGTGACACAACCATACCTTTCTTTATCATGTCTGTCTCTTTCTCAGTTATAAACACTCAGAGGACGAACTTAGTTTATTCTAAGATGCTTATAATTTTGCAGCACCAAGAATAGTGTATTGCACATTTCAGTAAATTCAGTTTTTATATTTGCTGAGCATTGTACATTTTTTGAAAGCACTTGAGAATACGGCAGCAGTAGATTTGTGAAGAAATGACTGATTTCACACGGGGTGAATAGGTGTTGGGACTGAAGTACTTAAGGATCCTTGAGCAAGGAGTGGTTAGATAAATTGGAATGAAAATATTAAATGTTAAAGAATATGTTTAGTAGAACAACCCAGTTGGGTGGTTTGGCAGAACTAGAAGAATTCAGAGTCCAGCCAGATACTTCTTAGATCTAAAATTGACACCATTCAGTGTGCTATACATTTCGATTTTTAGATTATACTTTAAAGAACTGTGCATTTCATTTCTCAAACCTTTGAACCGTGGGAATTATGGGCATGGTTTTTATAGTGCTGGCTGGTAGCTACACTTAGCAGTTCTGTGATGTACTGATTTGGTTTTCCCACCATACAGACACAGGTGTTGACTGTTTCTCGTGTTGTTTTTGTTGCAGATGGTGTGGATGGAAAGCAAGCCAGGAGGACTAATTCCAGCACCCCGTTAGGGGAGCTTTTTGACCATGGCCTGGATAGTTGGTCGTGTGTTTACTTTGTTGTCACTGTATATTCCATCTTTGGACGAGGATCCACTGGTGTCAGTGTTTTTGTTCTTTATCTCCTGCTCTGGGTAGTTTTGTTTTCTTTCATCCTGTCCCACTGGGAAAAGTATAACACAGGGATTCTTTTCCTGCCATGGGGCTATGACCTTAGCCAGGTGGTAAGTATGTGTTCTGTGTTTAATTTTCAACACTGCCATGGTGTTTTCAGAAAGTTCTTGTCATTCATTCTGTATTGCCCTTATGCTATTTTGATTACAACTGACATGTTCTTTTCAAAAACAATTAAATCGGGCTGGGGATTTAACTCAGTGGTGCTGCCACGTTCCTCACAAGTTTGATCCCCGGTGCCGAAAAACAAAACAAAACAATTAAAAAAACTTTTTACTTGTTCCTGGAAAGTTTCAAACATATAAAAATAGAGGAAATATTATAATGAAGCCTAGAGTATCTACTACTTACTAGGCAGTTAGCAGCATATGGTGAGCCGCATATGGCCTGGTCTAGTCTCATGTAAACCCTCCCTCACTCCTTTCCAGTTGTTTCAAAGGAAATGTGATAAATATTTTGCCATTTATCTCTCAGTGATAAAAACATATTTACAGTTCCATTATTACACCAGGATATAACAGTTAATGTTATTAAACACTCATTCACTTAAACTGTTGATTTTTATTAAAAAAAAGAGAAGATATTCACACGTAACTAAATTGTTGGCTTTTGTCTTCATTGCCAAATTTCAGTGAGTAGAAAGCTCTCTCTTCCTTTAGTGCTGCCATTGGACCCCAGGCTTGATGTTGCATTTTGCCCGTTTGGCCCTAAGCCCTCAGAATCTGGAGGGTGTTGGAGGAGGTGGTTGGGTGGGCAACTTGGATCAACTTATGACTCAACCAGCATACGGGACGCTTTTGAAACGCTCCAGATAATAGCCAGTAGAAGCTGAAAGAAGTTAGTTACTTTATGGCATTGTTGACGACGGAAAAAAAAAAAAAGGCAAGCCTTGCCACATAACAAATTTTAAGAGTATTTCTCGCATTTATTTCCTAAAACTGTTTGACTAGACTTAATGTTGTGTGAAGCTCTGTCAGCTCCTGGTCTCTTCAGCTGTTAATGCCTCTGTGTGCTTTTGTCTTTGTTTTCCTTCCAGACTATTTCTTTTGTCTACATAGTGACTGCAGTTGTGGGAGTTGAGGCCTGGTATGAACCTTTCCTGTTTAATTTCTTATATAGAGACCTATTCACTGCAATGATTATTGGTAAGAAGCTCCGTGTCAAAGCCTGTTTTAACCATCACTTTGTTATCAAAAGCCAGTGTTTGACTGTAACAAGTAATGGCACTCCTGTCCCTGCCTTGCAGCAAGCAGAATAGTCCTATAACTGTATAAGACTTCAACCTAAGCATTACAGAAAATAAAGTTTCTTTTTTTTGATTTTTTTGTTTAGCACCAAGCTTTTTCTAATCAGAGGGAAATGCCAAAATAGGTCACACAGGCCTTGGAAAGTAACCGTTCAATTTAACCTAGACTGTATTGGAATATCCACAGTTAGCTGGACATTTGATACAGATTTCATACTTACTTCAGTGTTGAAAAGTAGTAGTTTATGTGGAATAGAATAGTTGAAATGTAGAGATGAATCGGTGCACTTCAGAAATTCAAGTTAAAAATCTTTTCCTCTCAGATACCCTCCCTCCTTCCACTGAGCACTTAAGGCTTTTTTTTAATTTTTAAATTTTTTTTTTATTTTTTGGTACCAGGGATTGAACTCGGGTCCTTGTGCTTGCAAGGCAGGCCACCGATCCACTGAGCTTAATCCCCAGCTGCTTAAGGCTTTTTATAGGGTAATGTTTCCTTTTGATTTTAGTTAAAGTGACTATCTGCAGAATGACTGAGTCAGAAGTATGGAAAGGGATAAAGAGGAACAGGAATCTGGGTCACTGTTTTGAGCGCACCAGGAATGGCACTAAGGATTTTGTAGAAGTAAAAAGCATACCTGTAGGCCACTGCTGTTACTTACCTAAGCCTGTCTCCTTCTGTCAGTGAAGTATGGCAGTAGAATGGAATTAAGTAAGGCTTAGAAACTGCTAGAAACTGTCTACTAGGCATGGACGGTGCTTGTATTCTGGAATTTTGAAAGCCTATAGTCTGGCTTTCTGAGAAGGAGTGGTTTGGGCCTTTTTCTGTGACTCAGGACTATACATTTTAGAAACTACCCTGTAATAAAACAAAAATTCACTTTTTTGTATCTGTATAAACTGTTACTTCTTTACCTTGAAAAGGTTACTTTTTTCTACTACTGTGTGGTGAATCTTGATTTTAGCAGCTTGTCCTATGGTAGGTTTGCTACATTTTACACTCAGTTATCAAAGAAAAAATGTGAAAATATGTCTGATATATGAGCATATTTTTGAATTTTAATTGTACTCTTTATTATTATTATTATTATTTTTTTGGTACCGGGGATTGAATTTGGGCCCTTGTGCTTGCAAGGCAGGCCACCAAACCGCTGAGCTAAATCCCCTTTAATTGTACTCTTTAATAGACACAATTTTATTTGTAACTTACAAATTCATTTGAATTCTCTAAAGTAAAACAAAAGCCCATTTGTTTCTTTCTGTACAAAGAAAGTAAGCAGCTTTCCCAGTACTGTGTCCAGCAGGTACAAATGGATAAAAGAACCGTCAAGCTTGTGCCATTAGTTCCTGCTGATATTGGTGCTGAGTTAGCTGGATGGGCGGAGCCTCAATGTGGGGGGCGGGGTGGAAAAGGCTGGTAGGAGGGGCGTGGCTTGTTAGCCATTATGGAAGGTCGCCATCTTTGGTTGTAGCCGACAGGCTATCAGGGTAGAAAGCAGAATTAAGTCTCTACTCCCTGCTTTTTGTTATAAAAAACAATTGAACATCTGCATTCTTTGTAGTTTTTCTACTTTTATGTAATAGATTCCTATGTATCACCACTTAGCTTCAATAGTCTTTATTACCCATGTCAATCATATTTCAAACGTACCACTTCCCTCTAAACCATGCTTATTTTCTCATATATAATCTGTTATATTTCCCACAAACGTATTGTTTCTACTGTATTTCATTCTTCCCTGTGCATCTGACTTAGTGTATAGTTTTTTTTTTTTCCCCTAGAATTTTGAAGTTCTTTTAGTATTTCTTGTAGTGTAGATATAGTAGCAATACATTCTTTGTATTTATATGAAAACTTTTTGTTTGTTTGTTTTGTTTTTATTGAGACAGGGTCTCACTATGTAGTTGAGACTGACCTGGAACTCATTAAGCCTAGGCTCGTCTCGAACTCACAGTGATCCTCCTGCCTCCGCCTCCCCAGTGCTGGGATTATAGGCAGGCACCACCACGCCTGGCTTGAAAACATTTTTTTAATAAATTTTGTTTTTTTGTTTTTTGAGATAGGCTCTCACTATGTAGTTGAGACTGACCTGGAACTCACTGTGTAGCCCAGGCTGGTCTTGAACTCACAGTGATCCTCCTGCCTCAGCCTTCTGAGTGCTGGGATTACAGGCATGCACTACTATGCCCGGCTCAATTTTGTATTTTAATATAATACAAGTAGATATTAATAAAATATAAAAGCTGTTCTATGAAAGAATAATTTTTCATAACAAAAGTGATTAGAGAATAGCAATGGTAAATACACTGTGTATCGTGATCTAAATATATTTTCATTTGCTACTCTCTCAGCTCATTTTCTAATAATATGCCTTTCTTTTGCCTAAAACGTTTTAAGTATTTGCATAATACCTCACATCCTGTATAATGAAAACATGTTGAATTTGCTTTCTTTTCTCTCCTCATTTCCCCTCTAATATCCTCTAAAATCCATTGTTTCTGAATCACCTTATATATCCCTAGTACCCTGTATGTAAGTTATTATTTTTCCTTTCTTTTCTTTTCTTTTTTTGGTACCGGGGATTGAACTTGGGTCCTTGCACTTGTGAGATAGGAGGCAGCACCACTGAACCAGATCCCTGGCTCATTATTTTTCTTTTCTACTTTCAAGATTCTCTTTTTAAAATCTTTGGCTTTCGGAAATGTGACTAGGATTTTTCAGGCATTGTTTTCTTTATGTTTGTCCTTACTGTTTGTTGAGCATATTAGGTATGTTCAATCTGTAAGTTAATGTTTTTGACTGTGTGTGGGAAATTTTCAGACACATTTTTTCAAATTTGTTATGCCTCTTCTAGGAGATATATACACACACACA